CATGTAACTTATCATACTATAATTAATGAGGATCACGATAGTGATATATTTCCTACTTTTTGCTAGGCGTACAACCGTAAACCATCTCTTTGTTAAGTGTTTCTTTTTTGGCTTTTTGCTACAAACAAAAAAGAACATTCGATGAAGTTAATTTGACGGTACCGTAAATTTGATTTGACGTTCGTAGCTTATGTGCATCCCAAATAATAAATCTCTGAGCAAAACATACCCTGTCGGCAATTGCTCTCTTCTTTTCTTCTTCATGCATTAGCCATTGTCTTTCTATAACCTCAAGATATCTTTCACCATTCACTAAAAACACATTCTCGTTATCATGTTCCCATGCTACTATAGCGCTCTTCAGTTCTTCTTCAACCTAAGAACGAAAAACATATACTGCATGGTAGAATCAAGAAACCGTACTAGATTCAAGGTAGCTAGACTATATTTCACGCATTTCCCGATGGTATTAAAATGACAACGTATATCGAATTAAAAATTCGTGGTAAAAGAATGTGTTTTTTTTCAGTTTTACCTTTGGTAAACCTTTCTGTACAGTGTTTCTTGTTTTCATTTCTTTGAGTAAAGCACCACCGCGATTGAGAAATAATCTGTTTGGATCATTTTCTTTGCTCTTCAAAATCGAATTAGAAAATATTTACCAGAGAAGAGAGCTGCAGACAGACATGGCGTGTTGAAAAACAGTGACAAGTATAACATTATACGACTCATTACAGGGAAAATATAGATATACGCAGGATATAGAGGAAAGGTGGGTATATGATTTTAGGATATCTAAAGAAATGTATACAGGATGAAATCTACCTCAAACTCCAAATATTTCTTCCAAAGGCTTTCTCTCTTTTCGACAAGTTTGAAAATTGCGCTGTTTTCCTCAAAATAATTTCTCATAATTTCGACTTGATGTTCATGAAGAGTAAGTGCATCCTCACTGAAATTTTCTGCACGACAAACAGTATATATTAATAATTCATCAGCTTTTGCTGTCTTGAGTACCGGAACATAGTATTTTATAAATAATTGGAATATTTCAAACATTTCATACCATCGAATGCAGGCGTGAACTCATGTCTTTGCGCCTCTCCAAAGTAGCATTTATCCCAAATCTCCATCAACTCTTTTCTAAAACAGCGAAATGATCGAATAGAGAAGAAGATGCGTTAAGTTAAGTAAGTTTATACAGTTACATAGAAGAGAAGTGACAAAACCCACTTTTACGCATAACGTTTAATGCCCACCTTGAACCCTCGATAAATTTTTTGATGTGCAGAACTTTGAGCGCTTCCAATTTCTCCACTTCAGATTTTAACTGGAAAAAAATATGAAAGAATTAAAGATTTTTCAGATTTCGGGGGAATGCATGTGGCTGAGATCAACGAGTGATTAGATGATTTGTGGACAAGTATTTTGCGAGTTGGGTTATCAATTATTCAGAACAGGATATCAGGTTTTTATATAAAATCTAGCTACTTACTTTAAGTATTACAGATGGTCTAAAACCAGAACAAGCTCCATTGCATCTTTTTTGTTCGCTCTCATCGACATCAAGTTTATCCCAGAGTCTTTTTAATTGTTCACGAAGGCGAGCTGCTTTACCAAAATTTTCCTTTTGCTGTTTCTCAAGCTAATTTTGAAAGAAATATCAATCTTACGTTCGCTAATATTAATCTATTTAGTTACGCTACTTACAGAGTACGCGACTACATGCAAAGGTGCAAGTGATCATGATAATATTTAGTTAGAAAAAAATTCAAATAAATCGAAGCTGGGCATTCATTAACTGAGATAATAATATAAATACATTTCAACAGATCAACTATATATGTACTATACCTTTGTTTTAAGCTCTTCCATTGCATTCAGATTGTTCTTGGACAATACAAATGATGCCTCAGAATCATCACGTGCCAAATCCTTCTCGAATTCCGTCTCAGGGACTTTTTCCAGCTCCTCCCAAAGATTGAAAATTGAAAGACGTAAAGTCTTGAACTGCTCAATTCCCTGTGTCTGTTTGATAAAAAACAACGAAATATTACCCTCTAAATTTTCCATTCATAAATAGATTTTAACCATGCACTCATGCATTCACATACAATATAGTCATACATTAATACATATACTCACCATCTGATTTTCCATATACTTAATATTTTCTTCTATTTCATTAAGTTGTTGTTTTGTTGGTACTTCTTTGATCCCAGCATCATGTGGTGGTAATGCCAATCTCTTACAAAGCATTTCTTCAGTCTCTAAAAGTCTTTTGTGTGCTTTTAGTCTTTGATATTTTTCCTACAATGTCAATGTAGATGCTAATAATTACACATAATGCAGTCATGCAGTGTTAATGGCAGATTTAGATCAACTGGGCAGTGACAATCATAAGATCACTGATGTATTTTCCCAGCTATTTATTTAATTGAAGAAAATGTGCAACTTTTACACCATGCATGCTTGATCGAAATCTGCCTATTATACGTAAATAGTAATTTAGAGATAACCTGTTGTCAGTCATATATAATCATAAATAAAGAGAATCCCAAATAGAGAGGTGTTAAAAGCTGTTTCCAATCATACCGTGTTCCAATCATTCAATTTTGTTCGCAATGTTTTCTCAAGTTCAACAAGTTTTATATCTCCTTCAGGCTAAAAAATAAAGAGCTTGGCTTGAAGGTCACTGTAATGCTAATAACGTTATTATATATATAAATACAAAATATTAAAGTGACTTTACTATACCTGGTAAGGGACTTCACCAAGTTCCTTTGCTAGATCAAGCAATTCTCTTTCATAGGTTTCAATACTTGATTTTAATTCCAACATAAACTCTTTTTCATCATTTATCATATCCACAAACAAACTTCGGACATATTGTAAAATAACATCCAGTCTGTTTTTATGAACTGACGCACTGATTCCCATTTCCCCCCACATTGTTTCGAAAGTCTGCATGAACTCTGCAACCATAACCACCAAACCATCTTGAACAATTTTTGTTCCATTAAGATCCTGTATATCCATGTCCATTACCCTATGTAAGAATATATATGAAAAACTTTAATTTAAACTTAACAGCATTAGAAAGAAAGACAGATGTGCATCTAGTGTGAAAGATAGATGTGCATCCTATTTATCAGACCTATCTATCAAACCTATCTATCAGATCACATAGGTTGTTATCACCTAGCTGTTATATTGAGACCAAAGGAAAGAAATATTATAAGCAGATACGATTAAAAATCTTTTTAACATCCCCTTTAAACATATTTATTACTATGATATTGCCTTATTGAATGCGCTGTAAACAGTAAACTATGTACCAAATACACAAATTTACTAAATATTTTTATTGTTTTTTAAATTCCATAATGACGACTAGCTTTGGTGAGAAAATGTTCTGATTAGTTCTCCCTGGAAATATATATATTTTTAAAACAATTACTTAATTATTACAAGTAAACCTGCTCTTCTGCTTTAGTGCATAGGAAATTGGCTACAAGGATGGCTATTTAGGTTATGCCCACAACTATTTACAGTGTTCATAGACGGATAGAACAGTTTATAGACTATGGCCCAATCGCCCCAATGGCCAAACAATACGCCCAATGTTTTCAAATACCGAAAGTACGCTGTACAGAATAGTTAGACACACTTACTCTTCAACATCCATTTAACGTTTGAATCTTCAAACAGTGATGATTGGTAAAAACGTTGAGAACGTATTTGAAAATTTATACATCAAGCCTAGCTGCAAAATAAAAACTATTTGAAATCACCAGACAACGACTTTAACAGTCACATGATCAAATTACTGTTTTCTATTGGTGTTTATTTCCACTGTTTGTGTTTCGGTCAAACAAATCAGCGGAGGAATGATGTTATGTTCGGTACGTGATGTACGCCCTAGTTTACTGAGAATAAGATTTCATTTGACTTGCAATGGTGTTCTTAAATTTTCGTTGTATTTTATACGGTAAAGTTATTCCTCCCCGAGCTCATAAAGGTATTTACAATGGAAAAGGTCTAATGTTTGGAAATAAACCAACATTTTCAGAGAAGAAGACGAAGAAAGTATGGAAACCAAATGTTCAACGCAAGACATATTACAGTGAAATACTGGAAGAAAAAGTAAAATATGAGATGACAACTTCAGCCATGAGAGCAATAGATAGAGCTGGAGGATTTGATAACTATATCTTAAAAACTTCAAATAGGAGCTTGGTTTCTAAAGCTGCTATTGATTTGAAGAAGCAAATGTTAACAGTTCTCGAAATGAAAGAACGAGGGGAGAACATTGAAGATATTAGAAAGAAATTGGTGCCACCACCTAAAATATCAAAACATCAGCATGTGCCCAAGAAATATACTAACAGATTCTATTTTGAATGGAAAGGCAGAAAACATGTTATTTATTGTTAACTTTCTCAATGTTAAGAACTTTACTGTTATTTTAAACTCATAATCTATCAATAAAATTTATAATCTTGAAGATGCAAATTCAAATCCTGCTCAAGACAACAAAAATTTTTCCTTGTTGTCTCTGCAGTGCCAGATTCTGAATTTAATACTTCATATCTCTGAGGTTAGTTTTGATATAGTATTGTTGCTTATTATTCTTGGCTATTATGCTTAGTATTCTTGATTTAGGAGAATTAGTACAAATTGTCCATCTTTTAATCTATCACCCCACTGTTTGATATCCCCAAAATGGAAAAATGTGTATATATGCACAAATGATGAGCCACCATGTATGGCCCTCCCAAATGTGTGATTACAATGATTTGCCTTCCCTCTTTTGGAAAATTTCATTTTTCCCCTTATTTACTCGTATTAATAGCCTTTCGTCTCCCAATAAAGTCATTCAAATGTTTGAAAATGACAAAAGTGAAATGAGACATGACCAACATGACTTGGTTCCCAGTCCTCTTATTTTTTCCCCGCAATATAATTCGCACATTGCAACTGTGTGATTGGTGACATATTTGTCATATCCTGTTGTTGATATAAAATCCTTCATACCGTTCGAGTGACTGTGGTAGCCGCCTAAAATGTCTGTTATTTACAATTTGTGGTTTCTCAAAACTCTGAAAGTTTAAACTTAGAAGATAATAGCTAAATTGTAAGACATCAACATTTAAAATGGAAGATATTTATTCGGCCTGCCGTGAAGGAAACCTACGTTTTGTAAAGCAATGGCTCGAAGAAACCACGAATGATCTCAACCAAGGGTCTGTATTCTTTGGATTGTATGTACAACCGTCTGTTAGTCATAGCATTCTGTTGTGTATTTTACATACATATTTATATGTCATAGAAAAACTAAGTTCACAGATATATTCGAACAATATGAATATGCGACCGTCTAAAATGTTCTATTTTGGTTTGACATTTCTAGTGATGATCACGGTTTTACACCACTCCACTGGGCGTCAAGAGAAGGATGGGTAGCAATATTTGACATTCTCGTCGCTCGAGGAGCGAGGATCAATAATCTAAACAACGGAGGAGACACCCCATTACACTGCGCGGTGAAAAAAGGACAGAAGGCAGTTATTACAAAGGTTCGTTCTAAATGAACAGTACGAGTTCTCATTTCCCAATTACCTGTTTTTAATATTCATAATCATCACGATTCGTGTAAATAGCCGTATCTTAATCTGTAGTATATACCTTATTGTTTAAGAATCACAGTAAACTTGCTTCTTTACATTTATATCTTTAGATAAGTTACAACATTTGGACTTGGCAGTCTTTTCAACTATGTAGCAATTAGGAAAATAACATTTTGAGCCGAATGTTCTAGCGTAGCTTTGATTCACTGTTTAGCTTTGATACACTGTTTGAGTAATGAGTATCTCTTCCTAAAACTCTTATCTGTATTGTCGTTAACACCAATTAATTGCACATCACTTATCCTTTTGAGTTTTGACTACCCCTGTAGTAGTATACTGTACCAGCCTTGTAAACCTGTATACCTTTATTCTGTACCAGCCTTGTAAACCTGTATACCTTTATTCTATCCCTCTATTATTATGACCTTTATACTCCACAAACTATCAATGCTTAGAATTTATTGTGGTAAAAATATTATTTGCTTGCCATCTGTTATGTTATTCATATGAAATCAGATGTATATTCTATTCTTTGTAAATTATTGTTCGCAAAATTAGCTTTCCTTCACTAATACAAATTATTGTAACACTCACTACCTGTCATAATTATAACATTTATTATTTTAGTTGTTAAACCTAAATGCATTTGTGAATATTGCAAATGAACATGGTAATACACCTCTTCATTATGCCTGCTTTTGGAGTTACGAGGAGATTTGCCGGGTAAGTATTTTTGGCAAATTATTAATTTCACACAAATAACACCTATATAAACTTGTATTTTTTTGGTGGGGGTTCTTGGGACATGTTTTACAAAAGGCTGGACCTGTTGGCTAGAGTGATTTGGAGTGATTTTCGCAACTTGTAGATTGTGTGTCTGTAGATTGTGAACTGTTTGACAGGCAGTTATTTAGGGTGCACATGGGTTTTTTTCTTGTTGAATATTGCCTATTGGGCTCAAGAAAACATCCATTATTGTACTATAGATTATATAGTTACATGATTTCAAAGAGTTGGGATTTGTGAGGGTTGGGGAGTTTGAAAAAAGGCACGCCTATTTTCTCAAATGGCACACACAATTTGTTGAAGTTATATTTGCTGTGACTTTTTCTCTTCAATATAATAAAGATGTTGTTGGAGAAATACAAATATAACCGCAATGCAACGCGCTACGAGTATTTTTCAAATGTTCAAATCCCAAAAATTCGTGCGAAGATGTTGAACTTCCATGCTTTAATAAACTCTAGTAACAGGTTACCCGGCCTTAGAAAACACTTTGCCTTTGGGCGGAATTAAATCGTCCTTCGTTACGATTTTAACGAGTTTTGAAACATAAATAGTCAACACATTGTTTTCCAATAGTAGTTTTTACTAAAACAATCCCAGGTGATATGATGATAAATTCCCATCTCGACTAGAGCTCGTGATCTAGCGAATTTTTAAATAATTTTGATTTTTTTTCCTCAACAAGCTGGATAACTAAATCTTGTGATGCGAAATGAGCCCTTTATTGCATAGCTCTTTACCTAAAATTGGCCACCATACCGAATGCAATTTGGCGACGCGGCGCGTTTAGTTTTTTCAAATCTTCAAGGCTTTGATCTGAAAGGAATTTTTAGAACTTGTGCAGACGAGTAAAAAATATGCTAATAAAAATTTTCGATTCATTCTTGCCGCGGAAATAAATGCAACTATTTAAAACTGTAATAAGGTCGGGACTTGTTGACTGTTGTGCTATTTTCTGATTCCCTCATCGTCCCAATCGTTTTTTTCAGGAACTCATTAAGAAAGGAGCTAATGTTTCACAATGTAACAAACTGGAAGAAACTCCAATAGACCGAACAAAAGTTAAATACCAAAATATCTTTAAAGGTACATTTTCGGCATAGTATTTAATTCATTTTTCAATATTGTTGGTGAAAAGTACGCGTGGTTATTTTATATCATAACATTCCGTTATTATTTAAAAACTGTGATATACTGTACATCACCTATATCTTCAGTTTATTTTTAATTGTAGCATTGGCGAAAGAATGTGGACAGGATCTAAAAAAAATCCCTTACAAACGTAAGCTTTTAGTTATAAATCAAATATACACCAACATCGCGAAATTTGATTACACCATTATTGGCATTAACTACTTACTAAACTTCATTTGCCATAAACGTAGTTACACTAGTTTTATTTCGTTTCTGTTCTTTTTTCCTCATATATTTCTCATTTTATTTAGCGAACAAACATTTCCACAGAAGTAAGTACGTCATTGATAGTGCATGTGTGGTAATAGATATGATCCTATACTTTTATATTATACTTATACTTATTTATGGAAATCATTAATGTGCAGTTTCCATTTTGTATAAGCCCATTATTCAAGTTATTTATATTATGAGCTGACTTTTAACGCCGGGCACTTTTGCGATAAGAAATTACTAAAGTTTTTCATTCCGCGAAACAATTTCAGGTCGTGATTTGCGTGATATCCAGTCAAGAAATTCTTGGATTGAAGCGGATGAAGTGACCTTTAAGGATAAACTAGAAACAAAAGGAGATTCAGATGTAAGCGGCGCGTAAAAACCGAAATCGGCTACACGGCTAATAAAACTTCATTTATTAGGGAAGGGTGGCGTTTCTATATATATAACGTCAATTTTTTACTCCCCTAAAGAAAAAAGGTCTCATTTTTGTGTCTCCATCACCTGTCTTAACTCTTGAGAACACGTGATCAAGCGTACCAAGAACTTCATAAATGCATATATCATTTGGATTGGTATTCATAACCTCGGATATATAGCCGTGAATTCATTAAATATATTGTTATATGTTTAGCTCTGGAAAGGTATTTGGAGTAACATTCCAGTGGTTTGCAAGAAAATACAAGTATCGAAATATAACAAAAGAAAATCGAGAGATTTTGCTGAGGAATATCCGAAGTTAAGGTTTGTATTCATAATGTTCTTCTGACATGATAAATTTCAAATTGGGTAGCTAAGATGACACCCCAGAGGCAAAACTAAAAGGTCCCAATAGAAAGTCTACAGCAAAGGTACATAGAAACATATCTTCTTCGAGAAGATGCATGTTATTCCCGTCCTAAATTATAGTCTACTATTTTTACCCATGATTTGACAATACACAATATAATTGAGGTCTATGTATTTTGCGAAGTATGATGTAATTTAAATTGCAATTGTTGCTTGGACATATAAAATTATTAATCTGTGTTCTTTTGCTATAGAATATTTTCACATCCGAATGTTCTGCCCGTGTTGGGAGCTGTGAACGAATCAGGATCCTTAGTTATTTTGAGTCAGTACATGCCTTATGGGTCACTTTACAATGTTTTACATGAAGGATCTGGTAAGCTGAAACATCATTACTGTGCACGACTAAAAACGCTCACGAGTCACGTTGTTGCCGAACAACGTAGCCACCATGCAAGCTTTGACAATCTTGTTTTATGTGAAACCCTTAACAAGTTGATGATATTTTTCCAGGAATTATGGTGGATGCAGCACAAGCTTTGAAATTTGCCATGGACATTGCCAGAGGAATGCAATATTTGCATTCTCTCGATCCTTTTGTACCTCGATTGTACATCAAGAGTTCGCATATTATGGTGAGGACATTCAACATTGTATAGATTTCTCCCTAAGAAAGCCACGTGACGTACTGTCAATTTCGCTGAATACCAGTCTTCCACAGCAATTTTGAAATGGATATATGTTCACATACATTTGTCCCTTAACAGTAGGACTATTCTTTTTGTGCCATATTGTTCTGAAAGAAAGTTCTTGAGACTCACTTTGTAGATTTTTATTCCCATTAGATTGACGATGATTTAACGGCACGCATTTCAATGGCGGACTATAGATACTCTTTTCAAGATGTTAAACGTGTCTTTCAACCTCAGTGGATGGCCCCAGAAGGTAATTCCAACATATCTATAACAAGACGGACAATTTTGCAAAATATATAGTACCACTCAAAGTCTGGTTACACGTTCCGGTTTAGGTGCATGTGTCGATTTCAATTAATGTTTTAGAACACGACCACATGCATGCAGTATAAAGATAATACCAATTGACCCACTCATGTCGTAACCTTTTAAGCTTATATTTCCACTCAACATGCTGAACTGGCGCGTCCGCCATAAGTGCATAGGTCCGGCCAGTCAGTAGCGTAAAAATCAGGGACACGTTGTGGGGTTAAATGACTCTATACAGTATACTGTATATTTTATTGTATATGTTCCTTGGCACGACTTCCAACATTTTCATTCAACAACCCAAAAAACTGCACGAAAACGTCTCATGGCATCCGGAATTTAAGTGATGCAGCGAATTTACTTGCATGGATACGAATTAAAATTTCTTATTCATGTAAGTCTTTTAAATGAATATTGTTTCATTTATTCTTAGTTTTGAATAAAAATCCAGAAGAAGTTGACCAGCGTTCGGCAGATATGTGGAGCTTCGCAATTCTATTATGGGAAATGTCAACAAGGGAAGTTCCATTCGTTGACATGCCACCAATGGAGGTTGGAATGAAGGTTAGATATCTCACTCTGATATAGTGAGATAATATGAGATATAAGATATTGATAGTTACATATACGTCACGTTCTTGCATCACTTGAAGCCGCGCTGTGAATATATATAGTCAAACAGTTGGACGAGAATCTATGCATCTTTATATATTTATATGACTGAATTTAGTGAATTAAGTGCACGTTTTTGGGTTTTGAGAACTTAGCATAGGCATGAAGTTTATTCTTATGTGTATCATGTTGTTTTATTTAGATCGCTCTCGAAGGACTGCGTCCCAGTATGCCTCCTGGATTTGCTCCTCACATGGCAAAAATGATCAATATTTGCTGGAATACAGATCCGACAAAACGTCCGCGTTTTGATCAAGTTATACCAATCATGAGCAAGATGGTTGTCTGAAAATGGAATAAACATCTCTGCGCTCTCAGAAATTTATCAAATAAATAGGAAATAGAAAGGTTTTTATAAATTGAGTGGAAAAGGAATTTGTGTTCAGGTTATTATATAGCTTACCGGCAGGGAGCGATAATCTAGGATCATACTTCATTACATTTTTTATAGTTTATATTTGCTATGTGGTATATGTATTTACATCATTCTACAAAATTAATAAGATGTTAATTTTAGTTTTCGAACTCGAATTTCATGCCAAACTGCATGCAATTTATGTGAAGTTGATGTTTCGATTTTCTATTGTTAGGAACTGATAAGAAAATTGCGCATACCAGCAAAAATACAAAATATACCTTTGCCGTGTGCATTTTGTTATCTTTGAGAGTGATTATCGCCAATAGGCATAGGCCATACGCTCTTTTCAGCGTGGCGCGTGGGTTTTATCTCTCCCTGTATGTTGTAGCGAGAGCGTTTAACTGCATGGATCGACTCGAATATCATTAAATATAGTGTATAGTGTTCCATATTTTGTAGCAATAAAAATTGAATTGCATCTAAGCTTTCTATTTTGTAACTTCTCTGTATGTTGATCATGTTAAAACCATGCAGACCCCTCCGCAAAATCTTGAAGCTAGAATCAACGACGGAATAAACAACCATTGCAAGCATTCATGACCAGCTCGAGTCAAGTCGTCAAATCATTTCCTGCATGCATTTTTGGAGTATTTTACATTTTTTTCGAAAAGCAGTTACATAACAAAGTGAAGAGGTGTAGGTATCGCTTGTGTTTGGTACATGTTGATATGCAACCTCGTACCCAGGGTCTTTTATACCAACGCTTGGTTGATATGGCGGTGCCTTGGGTTGACATCTTGGGTTTTAGTTTGACGTTTTTTCTTCAACCGCCAACCGCGGCTTGATGTTGAAATTTTGCCGTTTTGACATTTGCCGTTTGCTGAAGGTGTATTTTCTCGTAGCTCATTTACCTCAGTGTTTTGTCATTGCAACAGTGTCTCGTTTCACGTATGACCACTCCTGGTGGATATATTATATGGAATATCTAAATTCAAATGGTCTATGTCTATGAGATCACCATATTTCAGTATATTCAAATGAGTTAATGCGATGTTCAGACTATCACTATTACCTTTGAGAGACGTTAAAACGATGAGCCTATCAGATTAACCAATTACGAGCTCAATCAGCTCATGCAATAGGTCGGCGAAGGTAGAAATAGACTATGAGAACTATGTCTATGAGCGTAAGTTAAAATAGTCATTTAACTACGGCAGGGTCAGTCTGATCAATTAAAAAAAAGAGACGAGACCGTGGTAGACGTGTATAGCACACAATTATATTATTGTAAGTAAAATATAATTATTGTAAATAATATTCTATTTCACATGTTCTATAATATATAGTATAATTATATATTTATTAATAACTATATATGTATATATAAAAGAAGTTGCAGTAATACTATACAGGCCTATTGTTGCCACCACCTAAGTTTTCATAATGCAAAATGTAAGCGTCGTTTAAAAATACTAAAATCCACACAGAATATACACGTAATGTAGAATAGTCATAGAAGCTAAACACTCCTCGGTCTCCTCCAGAGAACTGATTTTTTTACAAGGGTTGCAAGTGGTAGTTGGTAGTATATAGTCTGATTTGCCACAAGTTCATCGCCATCAGTGGTACGTCACCGACGATGTGAAGCATTTATTAGCACCCACTAAAGCAAAGCCTCTTTTAAACATCGTGCTTTTCATTAACATTGTAAGTTTAGTGATTGTTTAGCACAACGTTTAAAACAAGTCAGATATCATTATGAACCTCTTCTATCGCCAAAAAGCTTACCGAGTACTTTCTTTGGAAGCATGCCAATACAAAATTAAATTTCAGTAAAAATTAGACTAAACATTTACGTATAAAAAGAATTTCTCTATCGCGTCTTGAACACACATACGTCTAGTCATTATAAAATGCAATTTCAAACCGTTGTTCTTCGTCATTTTTTACGGGTGCAAACTGCAAAAGCAGTTATATATGTACCAAAAAAATACCGGGTACTTAGTTTAAATTGTCAGTCATAATTTTATCTAGTCATGTAACTGCACAAATAGGCAGTTTAGTTCAAGGTTCTCTACATCTGGCACCAAGTATTCCCAGATTTTGAATTTGAAGAATATCTATCTTCAATAGATATTCAAATTTCATTATTACATTTCGCATCAGAATATATTCATCCACCTATTTCTAATTATAGCTTACCTCGATTGATATAGGGGATGTTACTAATTTGTTAAAATATTTCCACCTTACTCCTTAGCCTCTCAATAATTATATAATTGAATCTATAGGTAATAAATATTACTATATATAATTAATAATAATCCCAGGATGATATATAGTATATACACACCCTGTAGTTGGGATATAACCTATCTTATTCACTACGAAATTGTGGCATTAATATTTCCCACAGCTGAAATTAATCTTTTGATTGCAACCATCCATTGTTTAACCTAAACAAAGATATAATTTTATTAATTCATGGCAACTTAGTTGAGATATTAACTCCTGTGATAACCTTCATAAAGCATTTAGACAAACATGCATGCCAAAAATAAAGACTCCAATGAACAACAATTAACTCTTTGATGCATGCAATATGCTTACCTCGCCAACATAATCTACCATAAGTTTGACATGAAGCTTATGTGAAGTATCAGTATCACCACACAACAGTGCTAGAATGGAAATGAAAAAGGAAATGCTCATCAGTAATTAAAAGCTTGACAAACAACAAAAAAGTGTAATTAACTGTGTACATAGGTCATTCTAATTTTGATATCCACTATCCAGTTGTTCTGCAATCATTCTATGATCTTCCCCTTTTCTCCTAATTGTTATCAAAGTATTCACCTTAACACATTTACCTCCCTAACACCTTACCTTCAGTCAACATTTTCATAGTTATTTGAACAGGCACTGACAACTTTTCTTCACTCCATTGTTGTTTCATTATCTCCACCTTTCTTTTCACATCTTCTACTTCTCGAGCCTGAAAAGATAATAATCACTTTAGCCATTTCTATTCCTTAGTGATCACAAACAAGTGCATTAAATTAATTAGGTCAACAAACATGTTCTGTAAAGTTTACAATGTACCCTCACGCTGGTATAGTGAGTTTAACAGTATCAAATCATTTGTTTGTTACTTTGAGAAAACAGATGAAAAATTGTTCAAACCAAGCAATCATAAGTACCACACGTATACCTTTAAAATATTACTACATTTGATGATGATTTCTTCAATAGCTTCAACTGTTGCTTTCATTCCTGCCTGACTATCAAAATCTTCACTGTTATGTCGACTGATACTTTCAGAACGATATCCATCATCAGGGGTTAAACTTCTTGGTGTATTGGGTGCACTACTGGGTGCACTACGACTACAAATTGGTGTTGATACTGGTGATATATTCTTTATTGGGCCCAAAGCTGGAGACACCACTGGAGAATTTCTACCACTTCCAGTCATTGGTGGTGGTGTGTAAATCTTTGTCCCATTGCTATTTGGATATGCCCGATTAAGTACAGGACTTCTTTTTACTACAGTACCTGTGAGTGGTGGTACTGCAGTGTCTGCACTAGTCAGAGATGGTGTGAATATCAATGGTTGTTGCAAAACTATTGCATCATTTGAAGCAACTGGTGAAGTTTCTGGTGAAATGTCAGGGTTTGCACGTACATGAGTTGTATCTAAGGCACTAGAAATTGGTACCATATTAAAGCTACTGGGAGAGAATAGTGGTTTACCAAGATTTGATGCTGGTAACATTGTTGTTACTGGTGGTATTGCTGACATTGGTGTGGGTTGTATGGGTGGGGTGGTGCTAGACTTTTGTGCCAGTGGGTGGATGATACCAGAATTTGATTCCAACTTAGATTCCACTGGTGAAAAAATCTGGGGTGGAGCTATAGTTGTTGGTGGGGTTGTGGGAAGACCTGGAACCACATTGTAGCCTTGAATGGGATATTGACTTTGAATCATACCATAACTTTTAGCATCAGGTAATAATGGTGGGGTATATGTACCACTAGAATGTCTACTATGACATGGTGATATTGATGGTGGTGCAGTTGGCTGTTGGGATGATAATTGTTGGTTGAGGGTAAGATTTGATAAACCTGTTTATTCAAGAGAGGAAAATGAATAATTTACTAAGTGAATTTTTTATTTATAGAAAAAAAACAGTATATAACTGCTAATTTAATTTCTAATAAAGATTGCCTTGGAAAAGTGTTTCTCTTTTATCAGCTTGATTGACAAATCATCTATTTGATAGATCTTAAACAGACACAATTATCCAGGTAAACATTTAGTTTTTACAATTTGCCAAAATGTCTGTTTTTCATCTATGATAAGGGAATGTAAGGATTATTTAGTGCTGATGTTACTTAATCTTCTAAATGTTTATGCACAAAAATGACAAATATGAATAATTGTTGACGAACTCCTACAAAACTAGTGCAGATTTTTCCCAGGAGATGGCCATTTTTCAAATCTCATTACCCGTTTGCACTCTCTTAGTACAAATACCAGAGTTGATGTTGCAATAACTGACATGCATTCTATGGTGCATATGATGAAAATAGTTTATTCCACTGACGAATTATTATCAACTTAGTAGCATCATGTGGGCGTCCATTGAAAGTATTGAGTAAACGGTAACTATGAAACATATAAACATGGCATAATACAGTCATCTGCGACATATTTTTTGAAGGCATACTGGATATATCGCTTACGTACCGTTAGCCACATTATTTCCTTGATTATACATTATATTTTGTGGGTTTTGACTTAGTGGAGATGTTATTTTACGGCCTGTTAATGCTTCTTGGTGTGACACCCGTTTTCTTAGGTCTATTTTTGGTCCTTTCTTTGAGCCAGTAACGGTATTGAAAGATAGAGTTGGAGGGTCATTCCATCCACGTTCTGAGTCGCCATTGTAAGCAATAACGCCAGATGCTAAGAGTAAAAACAAATTTAAATTTCAGTCGGTGAAACGTACACGTCTTCGATCATACACATTAATTATTTACCAAACGAAACGCAGTATTCTCATGTTTCGATTAATGCATAAAACACATAAATTTTTACAAAACTAAGTCTCACTATCGAAGTGTACTGAAATACATCTTTACCCCTATTTCTCGCCTTCAACTTTGCTCTACATATAGAGAGAAAATTACAAGAAAACATCTCCTTTGTAAACAAGGATATTGACTGATCTACTCGTCAACTTTGAAATCTTTATGAGAAAAGATCGTTAATATCCTTGTTAAACCCGGGCGACCGGTGAATAATCTGTTTTTAAAACATTTTTTCTCATTCCATGGAACATTTGTGGCAAATTAGCCTTTATGTAAGAAATTAGAATTTTAGTATCGACGACGAATAGCGAATGAAGAATTAGATAGTATAGAATAGTAAAAATAATAGAACATACACTGTATATAAACACATATACGTATATACGGAACATTTATTCTTAAAATATTATTTAATTTACTATTTACTAAAGTATAAGAAGTTGAAGTATACAAACCTAAAGGCTCGGTAGGTCCCATCATAATCCGATCTTTACAAAATAAAAATATCTCAAACAATATGGCTTGCTTCCCTTCCTAGTTACGTGTCACATAGACTCTGGCCACAGGAAGTGTGACGTCATATGGATAGAAAGATCACGAAGGGTGTCGACCATTGTGAAATTTCAATTTTATAAAGAGTTCAATAAACGATAAAATTGACTGATAGTAATATTAGATTTTCTTTCTAAGCGATTATTATCCTTGTTTTTATTTGTTACAGATTTGCAAGAACTATTGAAAAATATTCTAACTTTCTTACATTCCATTCGTAAAGATGTTCGGAGAGCCTCGTAATTTTCCGACAATTTAATATTTTAATAGTATTCAAAGTTTCTCAGTTTCTCTGCTGGAATTATTGCGGCAAATTTCTGCAACATATGGCAACGTATTCATATTTTCCTACAGCTTGTTGCAAACATGAACTGTATTCGTATTGGTGCTGTTCTTTTCCTTTGTTGTTGTTACGTGGTATTTGAATTATTAGGGGAGAAGGCTACAAGCAATGTTAAACCCCAAGGTAGGCGTCGTGCGGATGCTGGCCTGGAGTTGACCAGGGGGATATAATTTATATCGTTTTGTTTTATAATAACGTATTGCCCCTTGAACGTTTATCTTCAGTTGTACCCATTTGTCTGGTATGGATTGATGAAATGACATGAAGAGTTTGCGGTTAAGCTTACTTGAACACGCAGCACTTATTAGCCTGTGTGATGAAAGCAATATATAATATCCATGGGATTATTTAGCTTTAGCTAATAATAATTCGATATTGCCATATCATTTGTTTATTTTTATAGGTAAATTGAATTATTTTAAATAGTTTTCACAAAATTTCACTCACAATTTTTGGGCACGATCAATTCTATCTATTAGCGATATTTATTATGATCTTTTTATTGTCTAGAATTCTTTCACTTAATAAAACATACTAAATTTAAATCACATTGAATAAAACGCTTGTTTGTGATTGATTTTGATGATAATACTGAATGGCATGTTTGTGACATGGCCATGGTGAGTGCAGAGATAGTCATTGGCCCTAAGAAGCCCCTAGTGGGAATAGGTTGGGGTTGAGGAGTTGGACTAATGCAGTTTTTTTTGAGGCAGCCCTTTGTATCAAGTACCGGGTATATAATAGCAAATTGGTGTTCAGGTCATTCTGCCATCAAATTTAAAGTTTTTATATAATGTGCTATTTTTGAACAGGATTGAATGATGTATGAAGTGTGCATTCTTTTCGTATTACTAGATGATACAGTCACTGAGCAAACTCAGCTTGAGTTTGATGCTGTTCAAAAGCTTCACATCCATTTGGATGATGATAATGATGGTGATGTGGATTTTTCTGAATCTGAGGAGGTAGGTGAATAACTAGATTGTCTAAATCATTGATCAATATAGCCTGGTTGTTTAATATATAGACTGTTAAATAGTTTCTAGTCGTAACAAATCTCAAATAGTTAACTCAAATAGTTACAAACATTAGAATTTCAATGTCTACAATCAGCCTTTAAATACCATTCTCAACTGTGAACCCAGTAAGTGCAAGAGTTGTGGCAATTTGGGTATCAATTATTTCAAATTTGTGGGAATTAAATGCTCAAGTTATAAGTATTTTGTTATATATAGAAGTTATATTTTGAGGCCTTGGCAATAATCTTAGTAGCACCACGGTTGTAGCACCTAATTGTCTCATTTTTATATTTTTTTGAACAAAGATGTTGTACAACAATTGATCATGATTCAAGCAGATTGATAGGATTTGGGGCCAGATTGACTGCCAATTTATATACATCTCATCATATTTTTGCCCCTCCTATTACACGTATTGCCCATCATGCTCATGAATCAAATCATTAACAATTATTGAATGAGGTTGAACATGATATGAAGAATTATCAAGCTGAAGTCTGTTGTTTTCAACCAAAGCCAAATGATGGGGTTGATAACAACAAAATAAGTCTTTGATAATGAAAAAGTCATATCACACATTATGCAGTCACACTTGGAAATGACAATTTCATACATTGATCTTATCATACAAAGAGCTAATTAGAAATATTGCATAAATAATTCATACAATTTATTAAAATAAATAAAGATGCTTTTCAAATGATAAATTATTTATCGATGTAGATAAATTGCAATTCAAACTATGAGAGAGACGTATTTACAAGATGTTTCAACTCTAACATCTCTTCTTCTTAAACTCTTTGCTACTTTCAAATTAAGCACAGGCAATCTAGAACAGCCTGAGCCTATTTGAGCCTTCTGGCCTGAGCTGTTTCCAACTGTCATTGCTGTCTTCTGGATTTGGTCTTCCTCTCTTCTATTTTCCTCAAAGGTTCCACTTGAGCGACTGCAGAGTGTGTTGTTGGCAGGCTTTCTTAACATGTGCTCAATCCAACCCAATGTTCTATGCCAGATCTCATGTTAGTCGGCTGGCAGGTGGTTGGTATACGCTGCAACAGGTGGTTGGTATTCTGTTCGTTGTTCCTCATATTTCTGCTCCATACAGTAGGACTGACTTGATGTTTGAAAGATCCTCATCTTTGTGCGCGTTGACACTACGGTACCTTGCGCGCCTCGCCGATCCTAACTCCGACGTGCAAGGGAGCGACCTAAATTTCACCGATCCCTCATTAAAGAGGAATAATACAAGAAACAATATTCAAGTCAACTTTTATCATAAATATAACATGTAAAAGGTCTGGAAACACTTGGAAAGAATGCCTCTCTGCCTTCGGCCGTCAGGGGTCCAGCCGAGACCGATTCTTGGCGGGGACGTTGGTGGCATGCAGAGGACATGTCCAATCCACCTCCATCGTCTTTGTCTAACTACAAGGGTGATTGGCTTGGTGCTTGTTCTTTCGTGTATAGCTCTGACTCCTCCTGAATTTGAGATGTTATTTGGCCAAAACATGTTCAAAACTCTCCGTAGGCATCTATTCTGAAATACCTCTAGTTTGTGGCTAATCCCCTTGGTCATCTTCCATCAGTGATTCTGATCCATTTGTGCTGAGCACATTTTTCAAATTTATTGATCAAAATAAAAAATTATTTTTTGTTCATGTGTTAAAGAGGAATGTTTGCATCTTTGAACATAGCCTGCGATCGTAAAACTTGAAATCCATCTCATTTAAGGTGGTTCTCAATAACGATAATGTTGTGACATAATTACCGATAAGGTCTATTACGTTTGAAATAAAAACTGTGCTCAGGCTACAAAAAGAAAAATAACTGCGACAATGAAATGTTTTTTCAACTATTGGTGGTTGATAAAACCACCTATATCAATCGAAGATGTGTCCAATACATCATTGACTTCAGGCCCTTCAAACAAGTTGATCTATTCAATTTTTTTTTCAGTTTTTAAAACATGAATTGAAAGTGAAAGATCATAAACGTCATTCAAAGTTTCATTCGGGTGATGGTTCGATTAGTGTTAATGATCTCTGGAAAGCATGGCAAAAAAGTGAAGGTATATATTTGTAAATCTGTGAAAGTTATTGTATACCTATATTGATAATACTGTTGGTGTAAATTCTCTTGTTTCCAACTACGTTCATCATTGGAACAGAACTTATGCGAGTTTATAGATTCTGTTTTTTCTTCGTAGTCAGTAAATGGTCACCTCATGATGTTGCAAACTGGTTAACACATGATGTTAATTTGCCCCAACATGTTGAAGTCTTTACGAAAAACAAAATAAATGGACATCATCTACCAAGGTAGCTATATTGCATTGTATATAGGGTCTTTACATAGATATATCATCAAATATAATTTCTGCATTCGAGCTATTAGAGCAGTTACAACGAGCTATATATAGTAAATATGTTATTATTGGCATTGTAGCTACAATTAAGCGCATGTCAAACGGGTTCATTATATAATTTAAGGAATGTTCCCTATGGCACTAGCTATTTTACTGAACTAGCTAGTATATATCTTGTGTAGGTTGGCTTCGCCGGTCGATGGTATATTGTTGAATGATTTGAAAATTACAAATATAATTGAGAGAAAAAAGATTGCATTAAGAGCAATGGATGTTGTTCTCTTTGGTGCTCCCAGAAGTAAGCTCATCTTTTTTGCATTATGATTTCTTGCTATAGTTCGATCTGTTTATTGGACAATATCACATTTAGATGTGCAACACAAAACCGGCCTGCGTACAAGCCCTAGTACGAGGTTTGCTGTTGGTATCTTAATACTGATTTTTCACCCCTTCCACTCTGGGCATTTACACAAATAGCTCAGGAATATCTCGAGAAACGTATTTTGTATCTGCTAAGTTACAGACATTTATTGAATCTTTTTTACATGCCTTTAATAGCTGTATATTGAGCCGTCTTTTTTTGGAAACGTAACCGAAAATAAGTGTGAGGTTTATTAAACGATGTACAAAATATCTCATCTTCCTTCTTTCAACGTAAATGATATAATTTGACCACAATTCTAAAAACTAGTTTAATTTCTGTACTCAACTATATAGGATAAAATTATACAGATTAGATAGTTTATAAATTTGTTTTACCCCGAATTAATATGTTTAGGGCATAACTATTTAAAAGACTTCGTATTGGGGTTGATGGTTCTTGTTGCAATGATGGGATTCTGGTTTTCCAATGTACAAAAACGTAAAGCTCAAAAGCAAATGGAATCCATGACGAAAGATATAGAATTTTTGCAAGATGCAGAGAAAAACCTAACCAGTCTTCAAAATAGGTACAACATACATTTTAAGACGAAATATACCACAGAACAAGAACTTAACAAATGCAAACGATGCACTTAAGCCACGCTTTTAAATTACTGTGGTTATCTGCATGGGTATAAATCGATAGCATAGTTATTGTGTGTTGGAATTGAAAACAAGTTTACTCTTTTAAGTTATTTTATTTCTAATACATGCACGATTAAATATACTCCTAAAACATTTGCTTGACAAGGCTTAAAGAAGCTGAGACAAATCATCAAGTAGTTCAACAAGAAAAGTTTCAATTGGAAAGTAATCTCAAAGACGAAATTGAAGCGGCTAAGGTACACTTCTTATCTCTTATATTTTGATATATAATTATTTTACTATAGTAAATATTACGAAATATTCCTCGATTTAACTTGGCAAGAGCCATAACTTGGTATAACGAAGAGCCGAATATAGCTGGCAGGACCGTAACTAGAACGATAATTGGGGGGGGGGGGGTGTTTATTCATATAATCCGTTCTGCCCGACGGATTTCTTTTGTAAGTGCAATAGCTCACAATGAAAATCCGTCGGGCAGAACTGAATATATGAATAAACAACCCCCCCTCCCCAATTATCGTTCTAGTTTACGGCCCTGATAGCTGCATCCCTTTTTCTGTTTTAATTAAAGTTTTATACATATATTTGTATAGCTATGATATGCATGGAGTTGTTTCTGAAGGGTTGATTTCTGGGGGAATGTTGTGTGATTAAAATTAATACAATACAATACACTCTTTCTAAGGTTGTATCGCTACCCCGACCCACTCCAACATATGCATGCTTACATCTCCCTCACATGCATGCATGCAGTTATCCCGCGTTATTCCCGTATACCACAATAATTCTTAGTTGTTTCTTTTCTATAGCGTGAAGCACAGCGTCTTCGAGAGGCACGAGAAGACCACTCGGAAGAAATTCACACTCGACTTAAATTGGCTGAACAAGAATTGGTTCAGGTATTGCATGTCTACGTCATTTGTTTCTGCACTTTTGAGAAGTCCAGACCACCTGTTCTAAGGATAGTTACGCGTGTACTCTACAGGGATTAGCCAAAAAACTAGGCCTATTGTAAGGCTAAGGCGTGCTTATGTTTACAGGCAGTAAACATTTTACGTTGTATATAAATAAGTTTTCTCTTGTCGACAATGGTATAATATAAGTACACAACAATAACAACTCCGAACCATAAATATTTCCGTATTGATTTTGAAGTAAATATGGTCCTCGAAATTTGTGGAATAATTAGAAGTATATATAATTACTATTAAGGTAAGAGAGGCACTGCAGAAAGCAGAAAAAGAAGTTGAGTATTTGTCTTCGGAAATGAGTTCCTCTCTACAGAAATGGCTTCGAATCACATATCAAAAAGAGGTGAAAAATTTCCAGTATCGACGTAACGTTGCAATGAAGAAGATGGAAGAAGCCAAAGATGCTGTATGTTATACTTACGTCTTGCATCGTCGTTTTCTATACGTTGTGTTGTCATCATTTTTTTCCATTTCTACTCCGAGTTTTCAATTTGAACTTGCAATGTTTCGAAGTATAATAGTTTTTTTGTTGTTTATAGCTATAATTGCATTTTTAAAAATTGTAAGCCTGAACCAGTCGCTGAACAAAGCCTTTTTTTCAAAGGACTAGTATTACGTTGCAGACCAATTTTGCGGACCCATGGCGTATACATGCAGTGACTGTATAAAGTAAAATAATCTTACTGACTGAAGCCGGTATAAAAAATTGTTTGTCTTGACGAATGGTTTGCATATTTGCCACTTCCTATCGTTTTGTATTTGAAATGAAAACCTCCCACCTTTTTCCGAACAGATGCATAAAGGTCTTCTTCGGTATTCCGTACATCAGAAGTACGTTTCAAACAGGCCCAATTAACAAAAATGACAACTAGTTTTTCATTTTAGTGTTACAGATTGAAGCGTAAACGTGGTTCAATGTTTGGTGCATTGCGTCTTGCTCATGATCAAAATATTGATGATGTTGATCAAAGAATACTTGCAGCTCGGTGAGTTATTTAAAATTCCCAAACCGAAGAATGTGACGATATTTTCGTTCACCCAACAATTCCCGAATATGTGTTGGCCGGACTTTATTGAAAAACAACAATGTGATTTTACAACGCGTAGAGGGCGTGGTGATGTGGAACTTAGTTAAAACAATAATAATAAAACCCTTAATAAAACCCTTTGATAATGATATAACTACAAGCTATGTCGTCAATTTGGTCCCAGGTGGATAGTTTGTCTCGTTTTTTCGTACATCGATTTCAGTATTGAGTAATGTTTTTGTGTACTGTAGAACGTCGTTGGCAGAAGTAACAAGTGACTTAGAAGAACTTCAATATCGTTGGCAACAAATAGAAACATCTTGTCGTCTTGAACTTGGTGTTTGTACGTCGTTTTTATGCAATGAGTCGACTGACTCACCCGTCAATGCATCACGACTAGGGCAGTCTGTCAAGTCGGCTGCTGGATTAGGATCAGCTGGCACTACCTCTCGCGAATCCCTTTCGTATCATCGAGTATACACATATCCCTCACTTTTAACTGCGGAAGAGAATCCCTCTCCTTACCAAACGTTGGGAAAGTCATATGAAAGACATTCCTCTGATCCGAGTGGGAGAACGAGTGAGCGGCCTACTACCGAAGAATTGGAATGTAACGGAGATGATGTAAATGGCAGGTACACTGAATCTGTTGACGGTGTAGATGATTGCAGCGGGAGTGAATTTGAACGAAACATTGATTCCGAGTATTCTCTCAGTCAACAAGACATCACTGATGTTCTTACTGAGGGGAACAATTAGTTAAAATTACAAAAAAAGAATTCCGGTGAAAATGGGTCATTTTGGAATGACAAATCCAAGAGTCATTCATTCTCCAGTTCAGAGAGTAAAAACACAGGATTTAAAAAGAAGTGGTGGTCTCGAGGGAAGAAACACCATAGCGAGGACGGAAATTATGAAACAAACTCAATTCAATCGTCCAAATCGAAAGGCTCAATGCCCATATTATCGCAAAGGTAGTTTATTTGTAGGGAAACACAGGGAAAATTATTGTAGAAACTAATCTTAGTCACCTGGGTTGTATATATAGTTGTCCATAGAAATTATATTTAATTTTTTTATGATGCGTATTGACAATATAACAACCATGCAATAATGCATTTCAACACTCTTGCAGCTTGTCAGCCTCTTAACGTGGGTTTTATTTAACAGTTTATTAATGGCCCGATTTATACTAGCCATGTATCATCTGCAGATGTATCATCTGTCTAAGTATAAACACAGGCGAACTATCTAGACGAACTATGTCATATTGGATTTTTTTGGCGAAATCCGCTGAATGTGTGTTACGAAGTATCGGTTTTTCTGTAGTTCGTTCACATGCCGTATTTATACTCGCAGATAATTCGTGTTAACGGATGATCCCTGTTTGCCCGTGTTTATACACAGACGAACTAGAAGGCGAACTATTTTCGCTTGCTCAAGTTCGTCCAGACGGATGATCCGTCTCTAGTATAAATCAAGCCAATCAAACTAACCAGAAAATTCCTGGAAAAATTGTCTAATTCGTTGTATTATAAGATGTCATATTTTGAAGAACCGCCCATGCAAGTTAAATTTTAAAAGGCGTTGATACGATTTATGAATAACATTAAATAACTGAGAAGACGCGCAATGATTTCTCAATACTTTAATGCATGCATGTGACTTTTTTTAATGCGATCGGGGTTTTGCTAGGCCTAGGGAAATGAATATGTAAAAATACATTCTAGAGTATATATTTTGTATACAAGAATTTGACCATTAATATTCTTAATTTAATACGCAGCACAGCAGAATGTTTGACTATAATATATGGTGCATGTTCTTCACTTAACTCTTAAGTAATTCCGTCAAGCGTCATGCAAGCTATTTTTCATGAACAGTAAACAATATCTCTTCAAGGAAAATGAAAAACTAACTCTTCAAAATATAATTTCAGCTCAAGAAAAATGGAAAACAATTAAATAGTACCTTTGTCATTTATTGACAACTATAGTAACAGAAAAGAAATACACCATTATCGGTCGAATTGATTGTAATGACACTGAATGTGAAAGAAGTTAAAGTTAAGAACGTTTATTAATTAAGCAAGTAGTTTAAACTAAAACGACCAAGTCCTTAGTTCGCAATCAAAAAATAATACGTCGTGTTGGATTAGGATGGCGGCAGGCACATCGTGATCCCCACAATTTCCAGTCGCATCCGTTCCAAGACCATCTCCTTTGGTAATGTGGCGAGGCTGTTGCTCGGCTCTTGCCATTGGGTAATTTGGTCTGCCCGTGACGGATGCAAGATGAACCTCTGCACTCACATTTTACGCCAATTTGATAGCGACAATCATTGTCGTGATGGCAACCTTGGGATGCGAGAGAACATTGGAAGACTGGGTTAGAGGATGTTGAGTGGGAGGCGTAGTCGAACTTCTGTATTGGTGGTGTGCCAGGGCGCTTGCTTGGTTGATATGGACAACCAAAGTTCAAGTAACCATCGAAGTAATACTCAAGGTTAACTGCTTGAACGTAGGTATTCTTGTTCTCCGAAGTCAGCGTATGGTGACGACGCAGAATTTCCCAGATTGGCGTGAGAGTATAGGCTATAGGGGTTGGGTGAGTATGACCTTCGGTTAGAAATTGGATGATAAGATCACTAGAACGGTCATATAGAAGTCTGTTTCGTAAGTTGACTGACCCACCACGCACTACCACTGATGTACTCATTTGGGAATTGGACAATTTTTTTACTTCGTCTTTGGTGACACCAGAGCATGCTGACAGAGACAATTTACCAGGGCCAACACCTGCACCAAGGGAGGCACACGCTTTCACGGTAAATTGTTTCGATGAAAAGGAGGACTTTGTTTCAGCGAATGCATACTGGTCAATACTGGAGCCGAATGTGACAGAAGTGATGACATGAGAGCCATGTCTTTCTAAGAAATGATGATACTCGCGCCAAGAAGACTTGTGCCAGGGATTTTTAATTTGTGTAGGTAAAGCTGCAAAGTCTCGCACCACAGAAGATCCAAGGGAGGCTGTATACAGGCAATTGGGTGAGAATTGTTGGACAAAAGCTTTAGTTGCAAGGTTAATTGATGTTCCACTGACTTCACGTGATGTACCGCTGATCGATTTAGAAGTAATATCAAGCGTAAGTCCCAACGAGAAGGGGCCTTCGTAACCAGCTTTAAGATTTGTCTCAGTCGCAATGCTTTTGTAAAAATCTTCGGTATTTCTATAATACGTCTGATCTTTAGCTGTCGTCGCTATTTTGAGCTTTCGTTGGCAATGCTCTTCAATATCCCTAAAAAAGGTCAATCCATTTGGAATGGAACCTAGGAGATCTTCTTCTGGAATGTAAATGGCTTTCCCGAGAATTGTATGGTAATCATCCTCGCATGAAACAACTAAAAATATTGTATTAATTGACTCAAATTATTATGTGATATTGTGATTCACAACGGAACGCAGAATATAAAATGTGCCACCCTGATTAAATTATATCATTTTCACTTTCAAAAGTGAATTGGATGCGACAAAATTGGATCCGACAAAATTGGATCGTGTGAACAGATGCTGAAAATGTTGCTTAAAAAATAAAAAATAATTATAACGTTGGACTTTATATAAACCATATAGTGTTGCTCGTGATTATACTTACGCTCTGTGAGGACGAACGCCAGAAGAAACAGCATGAAATATCCGCTGATTAAATTCATTCTACAGAATAAAGTACTAAAAATTCAAATACGCGTGCAGCATGAAAATTATGAAAGATCCCCTATCACCCACTGTCTTTCTAAGCGTAACAGTGCTAGGCGAGAGCATAGGGGAAATTGGTATAACCTGCCTCACTCATGATTTAATTGGTTTTTAATTGAAAATGATCTTCACTCAGGCCAATATGGAGATCTTAAAGTTTTTTAAATTTTACTTCTCCCGAATTCCTTCGCTATTGTTCTACTGAAAATCTTTTTGGTCGGTTAAAAGCGCGAAAAGGTGCCATTACTTCACGGTTTACTTGTCGGGTAAAACAACCGATAAGACCCGAATCCCGCCTCTGGTTTCTGATGCATGGTATAACCAGCTACAAGCTCTTTTTAAATATTCGTCTAACGCTGACCATAGTATAATATATCCATGTGTAAAAGGCGGACAATTTGATGAATAAACTGAATTCTAAATTTTCGTACCTTAAAATCTTTAAGACTTGTTTTTGAGCAATGGTCACCTCTTTCCAAGGGCCGTGTGCACGCAGAGGATGCAAATGGCTATATGATCGTGTGGTCAATGCATGGTAACAATTTTATAAAGAGTATACAAGAAAATGATTTTGTCTCATCTAACAGTTGTTTAAATATCAATAATATTTTAATCTGAACACTAGGAGTTGAAGTGTATATAAGATAAATTATGTTTATTCTATATATGATTCAATTGAGATTTGAGAAGGTAATCGAAGCCATCCTTGGTTATATTGTATGGTGTCTTTAGTTATGTTACGTACAACGTATGTAAATGTATTTTGAGATTTAGGGCTGCATGCTTTCCATTGTCGCGTTTTTGCACGCACGTACACGCACGTAAAAGCTTAAAACCTTCTAAGCTGTTGTATGTATGATTAATTTTATCCTAGATAAAAAAACACCAAATCATTAAGAGTATCCAACCCTATGCATCTATTCAATCGCTGATTTCATAAGTATCATTTAAATGATTTTAAACTTTTACGTGCGTATACGTGCGTGCAAAAAACGCGACAGTGGAAATAAGCCTTTACTGAAATTCTTGAGACATTATGTTCGTCGCATTGCATCTGTAAATGTATATAAGATAAATTACGTTTACTCAATTTATTGATGTTTTAATTGATATTCATTGTCGAATAGAAAAAACACTTTCTCCAGGCATTAAAATAGCGTGTCCTTGTACACACTTATAAAATGCGAATGTGTTTTTCTAAATTAAAAAGAGCCCAAAATGTGCCAAAATAATTAATTTGGTTTGTGAGAAACTAATTGCAATTATATTCTACTTCAAAATTTTTGGCGCTACAAGCTAACACTCAAAAATACACGCCTTTTCCAATCACATACAAGTCGGTCCCAAAACGTACAAAATTATCCAGTCCCTTATTGAGAATCAGGCCTTGCGCATAATATAACCACGTATAACGACACTGCTTAAATCAGCGTCCCACATGCAAATACATTTTCCAAGCGATCAGTTTTTCAGTGTAGATTTCAGATCAGTTTTCAGAGATTAGTTTTCGATCTATCTATATTGACAGATTGGCAGGTGCGTTGGTCGGTCAGGCCATTTAAAATAAATCACTGATGAAGACAGGATCCATGCGATCCAAAAAATACATTTCATAGAAAAGCAGCGTGCCAAATGCTTCAAATATCGTCTCATTATATAAACCTTTCCGGCAACTATCTAATATTCTCTACCTTCAACTAAAAGCTTTTTTTTTGTATAGAAATGTTGACAAAAATTAATCTCCAATTAAAAAGGAATAATCGAAGGCAAATAATGTTAAATTGCATGTTCACAGAGGTTATAATTATATTTACTTTAATGTTGATAAATCAACATTCCTCATTCGTGTAAATAAAAGAGAAGGATAATTTTAATTTTTAAGTATTATTTTCATTATCAATTAGCAGCTGTTTACATGAGCCCAGTTACCCGAGATTTAACAAAGTGTAAGATGATTTTGAGTCTTCCAATTTCGAAACAAAAGAATTACATGCTATTGTAGGACGACTACAAGAGTAACACGACTATACCAAGATCACAGTATAGGTAGAGAACAGTATAGGGCCACTTCACTATGCCACCCGGTGCTGTATATTGAATCAGTTACTGGCTGCCGTACGCGTTAGCCAGAAACTATGTTCTGATTTGCTGGAAAATGCATTCGACTGGCGGCAAATATTGTACTGTCAAGCGTGAGACAAAAAAACTCTTACCTGAATAACTAGAACGATAATTAAGGGGGGAGGTTATTACTGTGTCATAAATATATCCAGTTCTGCCCCAAAGATTCCTTTTGTAAGCTATTGCACTTAGGGAACTAAATATATGAAAAACCACTCCCTCCCCAATTATCGTATCGTTCTAACTTCGGCCCTGCTGAGTGGTCTTGCCGTTTACTCCATAACTGTGACAGAACATAGTTAATATAGGGGGAATCATGTAATTTACTCGTTTCAACACCTCAAATCCATTTCAAAGGTAATCAATATGGATACCTCATTATCTATTGTTGTTTATGTGTATGTTGTTCGGCACATGAGAGGCACGACATTTAAAACAGACTATTAACTGCATGTACGTCGTCGATGTATAAAATGCATTGTCCGTTGGAATGTTTTCCAGGTAATAAGAGGTGCTTGAATTTGAGACGAAAGTCACACTTCGTAGTTTTTTAAAAAGAAAGGATTGCCCGAAGAAGTATTGGGAAAAGTTGGAAGAATCTTTGCTCAGGTACATAAACATGGTAGGCTGAAAGAATCGATTTTGGCTTGAACTTTGGCTTTCCAAATTAATTCATCGCCATGTTGAATAGCCAGAACAGAAGATTACAGTACAGATGCTATATCTTGGGTATGTTTTCATTGAGCTGTTTACTTGTTTTTCTTCGCTTATTTCATTTTAAAACGAACTACGGCGCCGAAAGATTGGGAAGGTGAATACTGGTATTGCTCTATTAATAATTTTAATATATGTGTATTTTGTATCTTTAAATAACACGTTTGTACGGTGGGCGAAACCGGAATATAGTTGAATAAACTTTGAATTAAATGATGAGGGATCATCGCAGGATCAGATGTTGAAGAATCGGCGCAGGATCAGATGTTGAAGAATCGTCTACTTACTATACGTTTATGTAATAAAATTTTAATTTTTTTTAATAATCACCAATTGATCAAAGTTGAACGACATTGCACGCATATTCTGTGTGCTCGATCAAAACTAAACGAATGTACTTTGAAGCTAAACGATTGATTGATTGATTGATTGATTGATTGATTGATTAAACGGCACTGCAAGCATGGCATATTCTGTGACTGTATGTATAGAGCTCAGTGGGCCATGCGCAGTTTGTAACGTCGATCAGCAGATGTTTAGCGCACAGTAGTTAAGTACTTCATATTGCACAGTCATTTACTTTGATTTATTTAAATGTCTTCTCACTCGTCTACAGTTCTACAGAGCTTTTCTCACGTGGGAGATCTTTGAATTTTAGAAATTTGCATTTTGCAGTACTATGATGCATGTGTGTTGAACTTTACAGTAAAAACTATAACTATATACTCTCTTAAAAATGGCATTGGGAAATGAGGTTGACGATGTGACTGGTTTGTTAGAGAAAACATCAGTTAAACAGATCAATATTGTCAGATTGCCTGACAAGGGACGGAAGTTAAACACTGCTGAGGATGGTAGGTACCTTCAATATTTTGCTGGTCACATTGATATAAATATGAGAAACCTTGTCAAACTAATTTTATTATTGTCAAAACTAATCTGCCGTTACTCTGTTGGCCATTCAACTAATCTGTTGGCCATTCACTGGTTCAGAGCACGGATAAGGAACTAATTTTGAGGGGAAATCATGAAGCAAACGTAAGGTCTGATGGACTTAGAATGATCAGAGTTGCTCATGGTTAGAGTTCTCGCATATAAGAATTTCTGATTCATGCAGCTAATTTAGAGCTGGCCATTTTTGAGCTGTCAGTCATGCATATGTGACCTACTGTAGAAGGTAGTAATGGATTGGAAATAGTGCAAAGTTAATTATAAATGTTTGTTTGTAGTTATTGAAGTTATAAAAGCAATTGAGGAAAGTAAAGATGTTCAAGCTTTTACTCTTGAAGGACATACTTTGGGTATTGAGGCTGCCAAGGCCATTGGTAGTGCTCTGTCAAAACGACAAGAGTTTCAGGTAGATATTTTCACTGATATGAATACTGATGATTAGTAGAGAGGTTAAGATACCCCGGTTCCGGTGTACAGGTACGGGTAGCCTTATTTTTTTCAATGAATTTCCATCAGTGTTTCTCATTTTTTTCGAAGATTAACTTGACAATTCCTTTCTAGTCGACTTTAACCTCTTGATCGAGGTAAGCATTATTTATGTCTTGAAATGTGCAAACAACAAGAAATTCCAATGGACAAAATATGGCTACCTGTACCCATATACCAAAAATGGGGTATCTTAACCTCTCTAATAATATATGATGCTATTATATAATCAAACCTTTATTAACTGGTTCCATGTTGGAAAAGCATGGACTAGTTTCATTGTCATATTCTATGTGGATCCTTAATCAAGAGATTTGAGAATGCCATTTGTTATCCTGTTGGAATTCACAATAGGTGAAATATTATAGTGAAATATTATAGTGATGATGCATATTCTTCTACAGAGAGCTCTCTGGAATGATATGTTTACTGGTCGTTTGAGATCAGAAATACCTATAGCATTGGTAAGTTATTCTACATTGCTTAATTTACAATTAGTGACAAGCAGGTATACTATTACATAGTGTGTTCAAATAGGATAATCTACCCACTTTTTCTATTTCTCAACATCATCAATACCATTGTAAGAAAAACAAATGTGTTATTTTTATACAAAGCATAACATACTAGCTGTTTGGACTTGTATAGTTTGAGTTCTAGTCTGGATAATGTGATTGCTTACAAGTCCTTGTAATTCACCCTTGGCACCTTGGAATGGATTTGATGTAACATATATTACATGTATGTATTAGAACATGCTTTTCTAATATACCATTCTTTGATATTTTATCTTAGGAAAGTTTAGGTGATGGTGTCATAGCAGCTGGTGCACATTTGACTGAATTAGATTTATGTGATAATGCGTTTGGTCCAGATGGTGTGAGATCTGTCAAAAAACTTTTGACCAGTCCATCTTGTTTCTCATTGGAAGTTTTAAAATTTAACAATAATGGTCTTGGAATAGGCGGTGGTCAGGTTTGTCTAATTTATATAATTTAGTTTATCAATTAATACGTATTGTCTGTGTGTTCAGGATAGTATTGTACAGAAAAATCAAATAAATCCAGGAAGTGTCTGTGGGGCAATCAGAGCTGTAGCTAGACCACTTAATTGAGGGGTGTTACAAATGTTCAGAAATATTTTTTTGTGTAGATATTATCAGATGCCTTGTTAGAATGCCACAAAGCTAGTGTTGACAATCATCGTCCTCTAAAATTAAAAGTGTTTGTTGCTGGAAGGAACAGGTTGGAAAATGAAGGAGCTACTGCTCTAGCAAAAGCCTTCAAGGTAGATGAATAAATAAAACACTATCATGTTAAACACCACCATATTGCAAGCCTGAGAACTGATATGTAAAGAGTCCTTGAATGTTACCAAGTGAAAACTAGGTGATCTCATCCCCAGACTGGCGCTGTTAACGCTCTTGTAGGTAATAGGAAGCCTTGAAGAAATATCCATGCCGCAAAATGGTATTAACCACGCTGGTGTGGCTGCTTTAGCTGGGTCTTTTAAGAGCAACCAAGGCTTAAAGGTGTGTAGTTGTATGCAAATATTCATTGTTGATATGTTTATACTGATTACTGTCATGCAACTGATGAACATATAGTAGATAAATGTGTCACCCCGGAAGTTTGGTTCTCGTTTTTTTTTGTGTTAATTTGCGTAACGATGAGATTTCCGTAACCTGCGTTGTTTGAATTCGTCACACTCCAGTAGGTGGAACGGTTTCTAATTTTTCTAGCATTTAAATCGATAGGAAGTCGAGCCGATATGTATCCACGTTAAATAAATACGAATTTTCAACCCTGCGTTTTAGGTCGTGAATCTTAACGATAATACCTTTACTTCAAAAGCTGCAATTGCAATGTCAAAGGTAAGATGTAATGTTTTAAGTGTTAAAATACTTCATATTTAAAACGTCATTTGACTGTTTCATGTAAAAGACATTGTCTCTTTAGATTCTTCCAAGTCTTCCAGATTTAGAAGTTATCAACTTCGGCGATTGTTTAGTGAAGTCAAAGGGTGCAATAGCAATTGCAGAGGCTTTAGAAAACAGTGTCCCTAAATTAAAGGTAATGATGCATTTGTCAAATAAAATACCTTTTACCAAACCAAAGTCATTCCAATGATCAAAAAAACCAGGGACCGAGTGTTCCAAAGGCGTTTAGCTTTAAAAACGATGGATACGTTCAACATAGGAAACAAAATAATTTATTGAACAAATGAGGTGAAATATTCGATGTAAAGGTTTAAGTTTCAATGGAAGTAGACATTTAAAGCATAAGATGTATGTACAGTAGTTCAGAAGATGTATGAGAGTATATAATTATAGTTATTTAAACTTTGGTTTAAACTTTCGTCAAACAGTCGGCCCTAGGCATAGGCATACAAAGCCCATAGGCATAGAAGTATAGGCATAGAAAGCCCATATAGAAAGAACAAATTTTGAGTTGAGCATATTTAAAAAACTGCTACTTACAATCACCATGATGGTTATAATTCCTCTAAATGGTGCACGTATTGATGGACGGCATTTCATGTTTTTTTTTGAGTGGAAATTTATAAGGGCTACGGTATATCGTATTAGATACAGTATGTCATTAACAAGTATATGCCAAATCTATATCCTGAGTTCCTCCAGCCACCATGCAGGGGCCAGTCGTATTTTACGGTTTTACAGGCACCTACGGTTTAACTATAAAACATAAAAGTTTTATAACCCCCTGCATGGGATCAATCTGAAAAATTGTCTAGCGTTGATACGTCATGAAGACTGACTCTTTATTTCAGGAACTTGTTTTGGCATTTGGCGAGATCAACAAAGAAGCAGCCATGCGAGTTGTGGAATCCATGGAAAACAAACTTCACCTTGAGAAATTAGATCTAAATGGTAAAAATTAAAATCCTACTAGTAAAGGACTATCTTACGTTGCAGTGTTAAAATAGGCTATGAGCCTGATGGCGTTCACATATTAAGGCATACTTTGTTGTGTTCATGCTTTGTATCTATTTTCTACTTTGTGTAACGTGATCTACACGAGAATTGATGTACGACCACTGAGCTATATAATTATTACATAGCTCAGTGTGTACGACCAATAATGTATATGACTTATCGCGCGCGTGCAGTATGATTTCAAAATTTTCAAAATTATGCAGTCAACGTTGTGTTGTATGTGATTGTATGCACTGACCTATATTATCTAATTGTATGTCATTCATAATTTCTTATGCGCACCATGCAGATAAATCCTACTGTTCATGGCAGTCCATGCGCAATGTCACAAACATGAATGCTGTACAGGATGTTTGGAAAATAAAGAATTCTTGTACTCCTATTTTTGTAAAATTACTTAAACGTTATTAAAATGCTTTCCAGGGAACTGTCTTGGCGAAGACGGTATTGAGGAAATAAAATGGAAGTTAAATGAGCTTAAACACGAAAATGTTCTTGCTTCCATGAGCGATGATGAAGGTGAAGAGGATGAAGAGGATGAAGAGGATGAAGAGGATGAAGAAGATGAAGAGGATGAAGAGGATGATGATGAATCCGAAGATGATAGCGATGAAGTTGAAAATGAATCAGGAGATGTCGAGGAGAAGGAAGTTGATGATGAGAAAAAAGAATTAGATAAGGTTTGATGAAAATATGAAGATACTATCAGGTGTATTCAGGGTATTAGGTGGATTCATTGTGTACTGATGCGCAAAGAAAATATCTCAAACATTCAATTGCAGACTTGAATGAAGTTAGCAATTTACCTCGGTTGTATACGACACTCCGAGTTAGTCTGCTAGACGCTCGCCATAATTATTAATTATTTAATATATCGGCTTTTGGCCCCAATACATGCATCTACATGATGCTTTTAGAATTTTTTATTCCGTATTATTTTAACATTTTTTATAACGGATCTATTTATGGTTAATAAAATTATACAATACTTCAATCAAAATTGTCCGTACCGTACAAATATATGTGCCTTTTTCTCATGTAGCCTGAAACAATTGTTCAGACTACAATATATATGAACCTTTAAAACACAATAAATTATTGTTTTAATTTGACTTTTGATGCGAGTAACGATATCTTGAAATGGGATAGGAAGAAACAGGTAGTCTATATTCTTTGAGTTAATTATTTGGATTGAAGAACAATGGACCCTTCTCATAATGACGTCAAACGTGAAAAGCCTGATGTCACACAAATTCTGAATGGCTATACAAAGCTAACGAACCAATGAAATTTGTGTATTGTCAGCATTGAGAATGGTTATCAGGCTTTCCGCATTTGACGTCATTATGAGAGAGAGGTTTATTGCTCGTGTATAAATTTAAAAGAGCAAAGCGGTGTTCTAGCTTGATTGAGATTATATTTGTTTATCTAAGGATCATGGTTTTAATTTTTCTACCTAGTAAAGAAATGTTTTTGTAGGACAATCATCTCAAAACTGCTAAAGAATTTTTGGGGCATCCATCGCTAGAAAATTTTAAAAAATTGCCGGAATTTGACAGAATCGAACTTATAAAAGAAGCTTTGCAGGTAAATTTTGCATTATTTTAGTTCATTTTGTTTTTATTTTTTTCCAATTCACGTGATGGGAATGAAATTTTTATCTTCCAGACTAAAATCGCTGATACAAGTGTTATTTGCAAGTTATTTGTTCAGGTATTTTGTTTTAACTATTTTCTCCGTTTTTCATGAAAGGAAAAGAAAAAAATATGGGAATTGACAATATTTGTCTTAGGTTTGGCCTTTAGAACTACGGGTTGATGAAAACTGGACTGCATGAACACTATTGGAGTATTGTGCTGCACCTCACGAATGTTGTTGTTGTCAAGTTGCTTTCATTTGTCGAAAAAGCAACCTGATAGCAACCGCCTCATTGAGTTCTGCATATTTTCATCAACCGGCAACAATATCAATTTTTACGCGCAATTAGCTCTAAACAAAATGTTTTTCATTTTCCAGGCGTCATGTGTTCTTCATAATTCAGATGATTTCATCCCATGCACAGGTAGATCAGTGTGTCTGTCTCAGTGACTGTATGTACATGCATCTGTTGTGAAATATGTTTATTATATGATGGATTCAAATCAACATTAAAATAAATTAAATTTAAGATGGCCGGATTAAATCTGGCCTATAGCATTTGTAAGAGGAAATATCAAACGATATCATCGTCAAACAATATACGTATATCGAAGATGGCGAATGGCGTAAATATTTGTTCTCAAAACCTATAGCTTTCAACAGTGTGTATTTTTCCAATAAAGACCCTTTGTATTATATTCATATTTACAGATGTCATTCTCCAAGAAGCATTTCTCAAATCTGGTAAACCTGAAACTGTGATTAACAGCTTACTGATCCACATGGGTCTGCTAAAGGTTTGTTACTTTGCTTGGTTATCAAAGTGATCTCTAAGAGCACAGTTGCATGGTTGGATTTCAGCAACTCGTTATCAAAAGTGAGGGTTTTTTGAAAACGAATGTGAATATTATTATAGATTATGCATTAATCTATTATTGCGTAAGAAATTGAAAATAAGAACTGCGTTTTTTCGTTATGACCAGCAAAAAGTAAACTTTTCTAATTTTCTGTTTATACAGAGTGAAGATAAGTTAGAGCCAGCAAGTAATGATATAACAGGAGCGTTGCAAGCACTGAATCAAGCTGCCAGACAGGAGTATTTTCCTAAGGATCTTGCTTTCTTCTTTACCGCTTTCTTATCGAAGTAAGTATGCCAGATTTCAATGAAACGATAATCCACTAAATAAAACAGTTTTACCTAAAATTGACGATACGAAATTCGCTTCGATTCTGCTTCACGTAATATGAAAAGCACTTTCCTTCACATCTGCATCATGGGGCAAATTTTAACTATGTGTCGTCACTCTTTTTCAGACCAAACTGTACAGTAAAATTTTCAGAATCGGCAAGGACAAACCTGCTGCAAACTTTAGAGCATTTGTAAATCTCCATATATGCATTAGAACGATGTAATCTTACTTTAACTTAAAAAAAAGTGAACATACTGAAGCATGTCATTTCGCTCTTTAAAACTGTGCATCCTGTATCGAAATATTTCTTACAAGCGCGTAAGAAGCCTAAAATCTAAAAAAGTTTTGTTTTAACCGATCATCTCATTGGCAAATCACCAACTTCGAAGAACAACGAAGCACAGCTTATATCCAAAAGAGGAGAAGTAAAAACAATTCTACTAAGTTGTAGGTGCAAGTTGCCCTGGTGGTCATAAAATCTAACTCATAACTGCGAGACCATGACCGTCACCGCTATATACCATGAGATATGATAGAAAGCCAACACCGATTTGTTTTTTTTTAATGTATTCTCGCCTTAAATACTCGACCATTTATTATCTCATTTCTATACCACTGGTTACAATGCAACTGTTTTGCATTTTTATTGACGTTAAACCTAATTTCGTAGCTTAAATTAAAATTTCCTTAAATTTTACTCGAGTCATTTTTGAATGTCGAATAACAAACCATTGACTATCTAATACCATCCTAAAACTATTAATATTTTCTTACGCATGCATGCATGTTCGAGTGACGTTACCAGTGGGGAGTATATTAAGGGGGTGCTCTACTTTCAGGATTAGTTACCATAGACAATGACACGAGACTAGCTGTAATTTATTTTAACAATTTATTACTTTTCAATCCAACAAATATATAAATATCATATGTGACATCAATTCAGCGAAGATCATCTTCCTTTTGGAGTGCATTCTATATTACATCAACAAGGGTATTTCACTGAGCGTATTTATCTCTAGAGGAATAAATAATGTAATAACTTATAGTTTACATATAGTTTGCCTGAAAACCGTCAGGCTTGCCACGCCACTGTTTAGTGCAACCATGGTTGCCGTGCGCACGGACAACGCAGAGGGCAACTGGAAAAACAGCGTAATGTCGACATGTGGAAAAAAGTTAACCATGCACCTAGCGAGGTGGGTAAACATTACCGTAACCGGCTTACTTTTTTTAACATCGATATCTCGCTATTTTTAAATTTTGGCTACGAATTCTTGAAAATTTAGCATAGCTATAGAGTTATAGGATATATACGTTGTTACTTTCACCATATGGTTGGGGGAAACATCACGTGCTTTTACACATGCAAGGACAAAAATAATCTGCGTCTTGAATATCAGTAATACCAAAAGCGGAATAGAAAAATTTACTAAGTGCATATAAAAACGTCTATGGAAGGAAATTTCAACAGAATTGCATTCGAATCAAATAAAAATATTTAATAAATAATCTAATGACTTTGTTTAATGGAAGACGAGACGTATGTTCGTCAGTCTCTTCCTTCCAACATATCTTGAACCGTCTTCAACGTGCATTGATCCATCTCGCCATCAATGATAGAGAGAACATCCAAAACCAACTGTTTCTGTTTCGGTTGCTGTGATATAAGTAGTTCACCAAAGAGGTAAATCCCCATTCCCTAAGAAAACGTCAGATATTTTATATATATGCATAAGGGGGTGACCTAATTTCTAACAGCTTATTATACCACATTTTATGTCGCAGATATGTTGATAAGAAATGTATATGTCTGAGGTCAGGCTTGCCTATTGTGAGCTATGCTGCCATAGGCCTTAGTTTTCGGTAATCGTATTCAGTTTTTGAAAATAATGCTCCAAGTGATATTAGCAGGATTCCGTATATATATGCTTTATGAGTGAGTTTTCTCATTCTTAAGTACTTACTTGATCTTCAATCAGAAATTTTTTAACTTGAGGATAACCAGGGTAATAACTATGTGAAATATTATAATAACTATAATTAGTAATATCTCTCGGTAAAATTGCTAAACCGGCTGAATATTGTTGAAGGGCCATATACCTGTGTTTAACAACCAGTTCACACCATCGATGTCGAACCTAGGAAGCACCACAGCATGATTATTGCAGAGAAGAAAGAGGCATACTTTACTAAAGTTTCGCCATCATAACGATGTTCCCCTTTGTCTTGGAATATTGATTTTTTTAGTACTGAAGTACATGCATTATAACTTGCATTTATCTCGTGTAGGAATGCTTATGCTGTCATTGAGTAAAGTTCATTGACCACCAATACGCATTGTTCTTTCCTTTGCTAAACCGATCGTAAAAGGGCATCTTTTCTGGACAATGCATGCATGTACAGAGAGAAAAACTAACCTCAGCATTTTTATCAGCAAAATGATAGCAGTTATCCAGTTGGGTAAGAGTAGCAATTGCCATGGCATCACGTTCTAGCAATCTCTCCAGCAAAACAACCAATTGAGTCTGGCCGTTCTAAGAAGAAAAACTAGATTAGAAACAAATAAACAACTTGTATAGTAGACAATAGTATAATCATGTATATGCATATAAAGCCCTAGCCCTAATAAAAAATTGCATCGTGTGACGGTGCTAACCGTTTGATATTGATTGCTGACCAAATGTTACTGACCTCTATGTTACAAATAAACTACATCGCCAGTTCCAAGCCCTGTACACAGCAAACCTTTCTGGTTTTATTATAACTGTTTGGAAACTTCAAAAATCATTCAACGAACATATTACAAACCACTTTAGGATGATCTTTTATAGGCTTTTTAGTTCTGATATGCTGTGTTTTTCTTCTCTTATTAGCAGCATCTGTTTTCTTCCAGAAGGAGAACTAATAAATATACGAGGAATCCTGATATGCACGCTGTATTCTATATAAACACGTGAGCTAACA